TTCAAGAAGTCCTTGTTTTTTACTGCTGAGTAGTACTCTAATATGTATATATTCCATACTTTCTTCATCCATTCTTCAATTGAAGGGCATCTAGGTTGTTTCCAGGTTCTGGCTCTTTGATTTAATTGTCCTGGGGCGATCTGCTCTCAGTGTTGCGCTGGTCCCTGCTGCCTGCGTTGCCTGCCACTGTGTCAGTACCCGCCGGTCCGGTCCGCGCCAGCTGCGTCGCCCGCCGTGCGTCCCCAACTTTTTTTTTAAAGATTTATTATGTATAGTGTTCTGATCTGCATGTATGCCTGGCAGAACTTAAGAGGACACGGTGAGCCATCATGTGGTTGCTGGGAAATGAACTTTGGAAGAGTAGCCAGTGCTCTTAACCAAGCCATCTCTCCAACTCCATACAATGTGATTCTGTCAATAAAATGATTTAAATATTTCCGTGTGCCTTCATGTGGGTATGGGCAATTGAGTGCAATGCCCTCAGAGGGCAGTGGGTGTAGGAGTTACACTAATGCCCTTGTAGGGCAGAGATGACACTGGATCCCCAAGAGCTGGTGTCATAGGCAGTTTCTGAGCATCTGTGGGTCCTATAAGCCAAATTCTGTCTGCAATGGCAGTATGAACTCTAACTGCTGTGCTGTCTCTCCAGCCCCATTGTTTGAGTTTCATGAAGCTCAGACTGCCCTCAAACTTGGTATATAGCAGAGCCTGGTTTTGAATTCTTTATTCCACAGCTTCTGAGTGCTACAATTATAACAGATATTAACAACTGGCCATGTTTAAAATTTTTGATATAAAGATATCCATATTATTGTTCTTAATGGTTAATTTTTGTTTATGGCTGTTTTGCCAGTATGTGTGTTTATGTACCTGCACCATGTATGCAGTACCCACAGAAGCCAGAAGAGGGCAACAGGTCTGTGAACTGAGTGCCAGGAACCAAGGCCTAGCCATTTCTCCAGTCTTCTTGCTATTCTATGCTTTAAAAATCTGGGTGTAAGCCGGGAGGTGGCAGAGTACATCTTTAATCCCACCACTCAGGAGGCAGAGGCAGGCCTGAACTATAGAGCAAGTTCTACAGCCAGAGCTACACAGAGAAACCCTGTCTCAAATTATCAAACCAAAACAAAACAAAAACAAACAAACAAACAAAAAAAAAAAACCCAAGAAAACCAGAAAATGAGGGCGGTGGTGGCGCACGCCTTTAATCCCAGCATTCAGGAGGCAGAGGTAGGTGGATCTCTGTGAGTTCAAAGCCAGCCTGGTCTATAAGAGCTAGTTCCAGGACAGGCTCCAAAAAAAATAAAATAAAAAATAAAAAACTGTAAATAGCCCAAACAGAAGCTAGGGAAAGAAAACTATCACAAGCTCTTGGTAAAAATAACTGACATACAAATTTACTTCCATCTTTTTAAAAGGCAGGGCAGAATCACACTCCTTCATCGGTATCTCTGCAGACATGCTCAATGCCAGAGTTTTGGCTTTCTTCACAAACTTCCAGAGAGTTGAACTTGGCAGCCTGGCAAATCCTTCAGGACCAACTTAATCCCTTCAGGATTAGTGACAACCAACATAAGGCCCAGGGGTTGGCTTTGCCAGACCTCTTTTACCTGGTCCCACAGGCAACAGGTGACTTGGCTCATTATCAAGGTGACTTGGCTCGTCATCAGAAAGGGCGATTTCACCCCAGTGAAGGAACGGGTGAGATCAGCTGAGCTGTCCAGGGTTTCTGCTCAGAGATACCAGCAATGGATCTCAGGCTTCAATGCACTCATTCAGCAGCTCAGTGGTCTAGGTTCCCACTGATTAAAATGGGCTGGAGAAGTCATCACTGGGTGGGAGAGGGAAGCTACTTTATTGCACTGCTGGTAAGAGAAAGGCAAGCAGCCCCACATAGGGCCTTCTATCCTTGAACTCCAACCATCACTTCACACTGGTCAACTTTAGAGTCCAGGCGAACTCCACCGGGAGAGCCGTAGGTGGCAATGGGGGCAGAGTGATGAGGACCCCCTCCTGGGGATCCTGGGTCCAAGTCAAATATTCTTCCATCCCTAGCATTGTTATCTGTGGAAAGCAAAGGGGGATGGGAAGACCCCGTTATTCAAGCAGACTTTGCCCCCAACATGATGGGAATAAGTGTGCTGGCCCAGAGCACTGAGGACACTCTAGTAAGGAAGGAGCCAAAGCCTGCCAATGTGTTTTAATAAAAATTCTATCTATCCAGGCATGGTGGCACAAGCCTGGAATCTTAGCACTGGGAAGGTAGAGGCAGGAGGACCACAGGTTGAGGCTAGCCTGAATTACGGAGAGAGAGCCTTTAATCCCAGGACTCCCAGAGGCAGAAGCAGCAGGATCTCTGTAAATTCAAGGTCAGCCTGGTCTACAGAGCAAGTTCAAGGACAGCCAGGGCTGTTTTACGAGAGAAACCCTGTCTTGAGGTAGCTGGGAATGTAGTTTAGGGTGGTGTGCCTAAGCATGCCTAGACCCTGGGGTCTAGCACTAGAAAAATAAAAACAAAACAAAACCAGGTTGTAGCTTAGGGGGGGATGAGGAGCTTCCTTACCTTTGTGGCCAAAGTCGTTTTGGGAGATTTGAGGTTTATGATTCCATTTTCTGGCCAGTACAGAAAGGTGGCATAAACAGCTGAGTCTTTAGTGGTGTACCTGGGAACAAGAAACACCGTTGTCCTAGGGAAGTCGGTGGTGTTCCCAGACAGACCCTCCGTCCTCTCGAGCTAACTCACCAATAAAGACCTTGTGTTGTGACTACTAGGAAGTGAGAGGAAGATGGGGAAGGAAGAGGTCTACACAACTCTGAAATCCCTTCACTTGGTTAAGGTTTCTGTAAAAATTAAAATTAACCCTTGGGCAACACATTTTCCAGACCTTTCCCTGCTGCCTCAGTATCCTTTGTTGCCAGGCGGTGGTGGCACATGCCTGTAACCCACACACTTGGGAGGCAGAGGCAGGTGGATCTTGGTGAGTTCGAGGCAAACCTAGTCTACAAAGAGAGTTCCAGGACAGTCAGGGCTGTTACACAGAGAAACCCTGTTTCTAAAACAACAACAACAAAAAACCCAAAACAAAAATACAAAGGAAAGGTATGGTGTTGTATATATAATCCCAGCTACTAAGGAGGCTGAGGCAGGAGGATTCCTTGAGCTCAGGAGCTGGTGGACAGCCTACACAACTCGGTGAGACCATGACCCACACAGCAACAACAACAAAACACACACCAGCTACTTCCCTACTTCTTAGGAGCCGAAGCCACATAAATGTTACTGAAATCTTTCCAACTCCAGATCCATGAGAAGACAGAGGGTGTAACGAGGGGACACATAAAACGTAGGCACACTCACTGAGAGTTCACCCTATAAACGTAGGCACACTCACTGAGAGTTCACCCTATAAACGTAGGCACACTCACTGAGAGTTCACCCTATTCGGGAAGTAGGATGAACAGCGCCTCATAGGAATTCATCCGTAGGGGTTAGTGTGTCTCCAATGGGAGAGTGAGGCATTGCGGTGTGACAGGCACTGAGCTCGGGCCTGGCGCTGTGCTGGGTCCTCGCGCATCATGTCACCTAGTCTTCAAAGCAAGTCTGTGAAGCTAAGTACCATCACTTACTTCGTAGTTGGAGAAACTGAGGTCCAAGGTCAAATAACTAGATCTAGAGGCCCAGGTACGAATGGGAAGAATTTAGGATGAGCTCTGCACAGGGGACCAGAGACAGAACCCAGCTGGGACACAGATTTTACAGCTGAGGCAACATAACCTCCAGCCTTGTAACGAGGATGGAGGGACCTGAGAATGTGCAGGGCAGCAAGTGTGATGTACAAAATACTGATAAACTGTCAAATGTTGTTTGAGCTCACTTAGAAGCTGGCTTTGGAAGAAGGGTGCCCCAGCCACATTTAGGACATAAGCATGTTTGTCTCAAAGTGTCCTAAGGCCCCTTTTTAGGGTTGGGCTGCCCCCTAACCCTGTATCAGCAAAACAGTCCAAGAGCAAAACCCTTGAATCTCTCTGAGAACAGCTAGGACAAGCATCCCCAGCAGGGGTCCCATATTTATCCCGATATAAAAGTACTTGCAGGGAAAATGGGAAGCCAGAGGTTCATCCATGGAGAGAAAGAGAGAGTGCATTTGGAACTCCAGCAAACTGCAAACTTCCCCAGTATGTTTCCAGTGGATATCATGAGCCCCTGACTTAATGACATTTTCTCTGGTCTGGGACTGAGACTCTGTCAGGAGCTCCAGCCTTAGGGCAACTTCCAAATGACTGATTTCTGTTGGGTGCCTTAAGTACCAAGTTTGATGGTATTTTACATCTATCTATCCATCTATCATCTATCTATCTATCTATCTATCTATCTATCTATCTATCTATCATCTATCATCTATCTATCTATCCATCCATCTATAGCTATCTATCTATCTATCTATCTATCCATCCATCCATCTCTATCTATCTATCTATCTATCTATCTTCTTCTTCTTCTTCTTCTTCTTCTTCTTCTTCTTCTTCTTCTTCTTCTTCTTCTTCTTCTTCATCATCATCATCATCATCATCATCATCATCATCATCTCTTGCTAGTTATTCTCTTACTTAGGCTGTACTCTCATGCAGAACTGAAGATGTGGCTATCATCAGTCACTCTCCTGACCATACAAGAAGGCAAAGCTCACCACACAACTGTTGTGTTCTTCTCAGACTGTACTCTCCAGGGCTGGGAGGCATAGATGGCCTCCCCGTTGATCTGCAGCCACTTGCCCACAGCGAGAAGCCTTTCTTGGAAGATGGGAACGATCAGTCCATCTTTAGTTGGTCCAACGTTGAGAAGATAGTTGCCTCCCAAACTGACTGTCTGAACCAATTCCTAAAGAGAGCAGAGACAACGAGAGTTGAGGCATGACTACCAAGCCTGGCACAGTGTCTAGAATGCAGACAGTAAGGGATATGAGAAGAAAAGCCCTGGGTTCAATCCTTAGTGCTGCAAAGGGAAAAGAAGGGAAGGTGAGCTTTAGATTCGGGAGTGACGGCACACGTCTCCCTGAGCTCTTTAAGGACAAACTATATGTACCTGTGGGAAAACTGAAGCAAAGAGAGCCGGAGAGCTGGACATGCTGGCCCATGCCTGGAATTCCAGCACTTGGGGTGGGGAAAAGGCAAGAAGGCCAGGAGTTCAAAGTTAGCCTCGGCTACAATACCAAGTTTGAGGCTAGCGTGGACTACACGGAGACCCAGTCTAAGACAGGAACTGCCAGAAAGAGACACATTCTGAAGGCATCCTCTTGTGTGAGGGTGTTCACTGTGACCCCAAGCAAGCATCACTCAAGGTAACCCAGGACTAGGTTTACATCTGGAAAAAATATACAGATGTGAGCCCATTAGGGACCACGCAAAGGCTCTCTCCATCCTTTCGATGTCTTTCGGTCTTCCCACTGCCACTGAAAGCTCATGTGTTAACTGAAAATGCTCCTGGGAGGGGCTCGGACGATGATGACCCAGACGGTGAGTGCTTGCCTTAGAAGACCTGAGTTCATCCCCAGAATTCACGTTCAAACAAAACACACCTCAATCATTAACAACCAAAAAACCTGGAGGTCGTGGTGTGGCATGTGCTGGTGATCATCATCCCAGCGAGCAGAAACGAAGGCTCACTGTGGCTTCCTGGCCAGTGAGCCTCACTGAATGGCCAGTTCCAGGCTATTAAGTGATCTTGCCCCTTGGGGCCCTGCGCTCCTACTACACCCCGTAGAAGGACCGTAAGAATGACAACTCAGGTTGTGCTCTGGAGGTCAAAAACATGCCTGCATACATGTCACAACACTCACACTCACACACACACCCTCCCAACAAAGAAAGAGGAAGGAAAGTTCTGGAAAGATAAAGCTTTCTTTGAGGCTGAGAAGATGATAAAGACAAGGGACTTCAGTGGGTGCCTGCAGGGAGCCAGTATGTGTGCTGCCATTACAAGATGGCACCAGGCCCCTGCAGGATTGGGATAAACAACTCCATATAAGGTCATAGCCAGTACCACCATCTCGGGTATGCTCAGTGTCCTCAGTGTGCCGGACCTATCAGGGAGCTTGGAGTGGCTGCTGAGACACTTTGACCAATAGGAGGCCTGCAAGTGCCCCCTCGCTTCCTGCTCTCCCTTCAACCAAGAGGCTCCAATAATGCGTGATTTGGGAAGAATCCTCGACTTGTGGTCGTCCTTCCCTGCTGGTCAGGGAGTTCGCCGCAGGTGCCATCAAGATGAATGACCTGAATTTGATCCTAGGGATTTCCGTCACAGGACGGAAGGGGAGAAGTGACTGTCAATTTTAGCTGGGCGTGGTGGCACGCACTGGTTAATTCCAGCACTCGGGAGGTAGAGGCAAGCAGATGTCTGTGAGTCTGAGACCTAAGGCCAGTCAGGGGTACAGAGAGAAACCCTGTCTCAGAAAAAAAATAAAACAACAACAACAAAACAGAACAAAAACTAAGCGAAACAAAACCAAAAGCAGGTTTTAAAGGCCCAACCCCTTTCTCTGCAACAGCGACAATGTACTTAGGAGAGGTCTGTCTATGTGACTGCGGCCCTAGTGGGTTCTAGCCACCCGACTCTGGACTGGAGGGCCCTAAGGTAAGCAGGCGAGTGCTCTTACCTCAATGATTTCGTTCTCACTGGCAATGGTGGACATGGTCATGTCACGGCGATAGCCCCAGGACGCCCTGTCGATGCTGGTGCACATCTCCCACTTGTGGTCCGGCAAGCTCTGCGGTCTGTATTTATCCTGACAGTTGTAGTAGCCTCCATGATGGCAGGAGCAGTTCTGACCCCACCGGTCATTCACTACCACCTGGTCCTAAGGGAGGAAGAGAACGGGGTCACGGGGCAGCACCTCCTGGCTCCTCTATGCAGTGCAGATGTGTCTGGTGACAGTCTGTTCGGAAGAACAGCAGACTACACTAGAGTCTTTCCCCCGGGCTATTTTGCTCTAAAGGGCACACATGGGAAACTAGACCGCTGCACACAGCTTCTAATGTCAGCAATGCCCAAGCCCAGGAAGCCAGCTGACAGATGCACAGAGGAAGCGTGTATGCAGGGGGGCTCAGGAGATGACTCGGGGTGACATGCTTGCTGTGAAAGCAAGAGAACTCTCTAGCACTCGTGGGACTGGAAAGATGGCTCAACAGTTAAGAGTGCCTGACACTCTTACAAAGGATGTGGATTTGGTTCCCAGCACCCACATGGTCACTCACAACCGTCCAAAACTCCAGTCCCAAGGGATCCAACACCTTTCTCCTGGCCTCCACTGGCTCTTGCACGCACATAATTCATGCAGGCAAAACACCCATACGCATAATAACATAAAATAACCTTTTAAAAATGTGTTTGGGGGCCTGGTGAGATGGCTCAGTGGTTAAGAGCAGCCACTGCTCTCGAAGTGGACCTGGCTTGTTTTGGTGGGTGACTCAGAACCACCCTGACTCCAGTTACAGGAGATCTGGTGCCCTCTTCTGGTCTCATGGGCTTTTGCATGCACACAGTATACATAAACTTACACAGGCATACATACATTTACATACATATAATAAATAAACAAATCATAAAAACGGGCATGGAGGGGCTGGAGAGATGGCTCAGAGGTTAAGAGCACTGACTGCTCTTCCAGAGGTCCTGAGTTCAATTCCCAGCAACCACATGGTGGCTCACAACCATCTGTAATGGAGTCTTCTGGCTTGCAGGCATACATGCAGACAGAACATTGTATACATAATAAATAAATTAACTTAAAAAATAAAACAGGTGGCCGGGCGGTGGTGGCGCACGCCTTTAATCCCAGCAATTGGGAGGCAGAGGCAGGTGGATCTCTGTGAGTTCGAGACCAGCCTGGTCTACAAGAGCTAGTGCCAGGACAGGCTCCAAAACCACAGAGAAACCCTGTCTCAAAAACCCCCCCCAATAAATAAATAAATAAATAAATAAATAAATAAATAAATAAATAAATCGGGTATGGGAGGTCTGTGCACATATATACAGTACCCAAAAAGGCCAGAAGAGGGTGCCAGCTGCCCTTTTCCTGGAGTTTCAGGTGGTTGTGACCCACCATGTGTGTGATGCTGGGAAGGGCACTCAGAATAGTACATGCTCTAACCACTGAGCCCTCTCCCCAGCTCCTGCTGAGGGATTTTTTGTTATTGTTGTTTTTTGAGACAGGGTTTCTCTGTGTAGCATGGCTGTCTTGGAACCCATTCTGTAGACCTGACTGGCCTTGAACACAGAGGTCCAGATTAAAAGGTGTGCACCATCACTGCCCAGCTTTACAGTGGTTTTTAAACACATGAGGCTGACATGCTCCCTTCACTAATGCTGCATCTTTGTTTATCTTTTTCCCTTTTTGTGATTCTCCTTAATCAGGCACGTGTAACTGTCACCCCACTTGGCAAATGACCTGGCTCCATGAAGGCACAGACCAGAGGCACCAACAAGGCACCGCAGAGGCATATGAGGTATCAACTGCCCTAAGTTTATTTGTTTCTTGAGAGAGTCTTACTATGTAGCCCTGGCTGGCCTCAGAACTCACTGTGTAGACCAGGCTGACCTTGAACTCACAGAGGTCCACTGTGATTAGTGCTAGGATTAAAGGAATATCTGGCCAGGCTCAAGTCTTGAAGGGCAGTCAACTGCTCACTCATAACTGTATGTCACTGTGACAGAGATGGGTGCCATAGTGATAACCCAGTACTTGTCCTTTAAACTTTAAGCAGAGACATGTAGAAGAGACAGATGTGGACAATTTACACCATGGCATTCTGTGGATGAACTGCACATCTGGGAGTCCCGAGCCTCCCCAAAAGCAAGCCTTGCATGCGCCGTTAACATGCTCTCCCAGTGAGGTGCACTCCAGTCCGTGAGAGCCACCCTCAACCAGTATCCATCACTCAGGAATGGTGTCTCTCCTCTGTCTCCTGTCCTTCATCTCCTGAGTTTAGTAATAACTACCCAATAGGATCCCCACAGATAGGCATCCACCAGGGCACCTTCATGGTTAGCTGGTGCTTGCGGTTAAACCCAGGCCCCCGCATGCTGAGCATGCACTCTACCACTGAGCTGTATCTCCAGCCACCAAACGGCTTTACACAAATCTAGAGCGTGTAAAATCTTTGACATGTCCGTCAACAGATAAAGACTTCTGCCACACAGTAAAAGTCCCATGACACAAGATGCAAATGTACTAGCTAGGTGTACTAACTGTGGGAGGGTTTAGCTAGCTAAGTACCCTTTCAAATTTGACAGAAAGCTAGGAGTGGTGCAATACACCTGCAATCCCAGCTCTTGAGAAGCTGAGGCAGAAGGATGGCTGCGAATTCCACCTGTCATAGCCTACTGAGAGCTGAGACAACAGGTAAGCACCACCATGCCCGTTACACAAGTCAGACATCACCTACCTTGACAGGGCTATCATTATAGAGCCAAGCAAGGAAAGCTGTGGAGTTCCAGTACGTGTCAGGACACTCCCACTCCCCATCAGACCAGATCAGGTCGGGCTTGTAGCTGGAAGACACAGGATCGGAACAGCTTGCTATCTGAATCTATATCTAGTCCAGTCTTATGGACAGACTTTTGCAACAAACTCAGAGCAGGGAGACTGGCTCTGTGGTAGGGCTCTCGCCGACCACGTGTGAGGCTGTAGGTTCCATTCCCAGCTCAGCAAACAGGAAAGATGCCTCTTGATGGGAAAGTACCATGAAGGTGACAATGCAGAAACTAAAGAGACAGGAGACCTAACAGAGCCTCAGGGAGGGCGTGTGGAGGGGGGCTGAGCAGCTGAAAGCACTGGCTGCTCTTCCAGAGGACACAGGTTTGATTCCTGCACCCAGGAGGCTCACAATCACTTGTGACTCCAGGCCTTGGGATCTGATGCCCTCTTCTGGCCTCTGTTGGCACAGGCTTGCACAGAGCATAGACAAATATGCAGGCAAAACAGCTGTACATATAAAATAATATTAATTTTAAAAAATTTCAGGGGCTGGTGACAGGGCTCCACGTATAAAGGTGCCCACTTGCCAAGTCTAACAACCTGAGTTCAATCCTGGGTCCCGCGTGGCAGAAAGAGAGTGAGCTGATCCTGCAAGTGGTCCTCTGACCTCTACATGCACAGCACAGCACATGCATGCACCCCCCCCATAAATTAAAATGTAATACCAATAGCAACAACAATAATAAAGAACGGATTGGTTCCGTATACTTCTCTTAGTGCCTCTGTTCTCCTTTCAGAAAGGACACTGTAATCAGTATCTAGAGTTTGCATCCCTTCAAATCCAGTTAGGGGTGACGCTCGCAGGGCTGGAGAGACAGCTCAGGGGGTGAGGGTGCTTAATGCTTGCAGAGGACCCGGACTTGGTTCCCAGCACCCACATGGTGGCTCACAGTACCTGTAATTCTCACTGCAGGGAACAATGCCCTCCGGTCTCCTTGGGCACCTGTTGCTCACGGTGTGGAGACCACACATAAGTAATAAGTGCATTCTGGAAAGGAGACTGGTGCTTGGGCAGGTCAGAGGGCTCAGCTGGGCTGGAAAAGCTCCCGCTCTCAAGCCCGATGACCCGAGTTCGAGTCTCACAATCCACAAGGAAGGAGAACTGACTTCCAGTTGTTCTCTGACCTCCATGTGTGCTGGGGCACATATGTGCCCACAGAATACACACACGGGGACACGAAATAATAAAATATGACTAAAAAGACAGTAACAGTGCTCATGACCCGGGATGTGTAACTCAGTGGCAGAGTACTGCCCAGCGTGTTCTAAGACCTGGGGTCCTGTCCCCAGGACCAAAAAAAACCACCAAAAATAAAAACCAGGGAGGTGTGCTGGCTCATGCCTGTAATACTAGCACTTGGGAATCTGAGTCAGGAGCTTACAAATTAGAGGCTAGCCTGGGCTACACAGCAAGTCCCTGGTCCAAAAGTACAAAATGAAGATGTTTGCTTTTAGGGTGGTGTAAACATTTGAACTGTGGCACTGATCTGTTCTTGGAGGCTACCCAGCCTGGCTGGAAAAGCCTACCAGGGCCTAGTGCCCCTTCCACAATGTGATTCTGCCTGACGACAGACCTTCACTGCACTTCATAGTGGGGCCAGTAACAATCTTGAGGAAGAAAGCTTTTCTGAGGCTAGAAGCCCTGACAGTAATCTCTCCCGCCGTGTGCAGTCACGTACACAAGGCAGCTCATGGCCATGACCTCATCAGCTCCCATGATTACCAACCCCAGGTTCAGGGATAAAGAAGAGAGTCAGGGCTGGGCAGTGGTGGCACAGGCCTTTTAAATACAGCTCTTGGGCAGGTGGATCTCTGTGAGTTCAAGGCCAGCCTGGTCTACAGAGGAAGTTCCAGGACAGCCAGGACTACACAGAGAAACCTTGCCCCAAAAAATCAAAAGGAAGAAAAGAAAACCAAACACAACAAAAACAAAATATATAAAATGAGAGTAGGGGCAAAGAAGCCATCCCAGGCTCTGAGAGTCCCCCATCTAGGGCTGGCTCCCAGCTGTCATAAGGGAAACATAAATGGATTAGGGGGTAATAGCCTTTGCCATCAAGTCTGATGGTCTGAGTTTGATCCTTGGACTCCACGTGGTAAAACGAGGAAACTAACATCTCTGTTTTTGTATGCTGTGGCATGCCAAAGCCACCTCATCCCCACTAAATAATGAATGTTAGCAACAAAAGCCAATTTGAGAATGGTGACGCTAGTTAACAGTGGCTCTTCCTGGTCCCAGCACTGGCAGGGATTCTGCGTGCTGACCTGAGCCCAGACAAGACATGACAGTTCTAAGAGAGCAGGGTCTGTGCTAAGGACGCTGCTCCAGTTAGAGCTTCTGATGGTGAAGAAGCCAGTGTCCCTCTCCAAGGTCCTGACTAGGGACACTGGCAAGGGAGGAGGGCGCTGAAGGGCAAGCTTTGCCTCACAGCCACCTGGGTCCCCAGTGACAGCAGCAGCTTAGTAAGTGACCACAGTTCAGAAGTTCTGAGCGGTGGGAGGGGAAAATGCTTTGCATGAATGGAAACGCCACCTTTACTCTTTTGATGCCTCTGAGAGGTTCTCAGGCAGCAGCCTGCAGCTGGAGCCCATCAACAGCACCCGGAGAGGAGCTGACTTCCAGCACAAGCCCTCAGGCCCAGGCCCGTCTCACCTGTTAACAAGGTCGTACAGCTCTGGCATTGTTTTCGCGCTGACAAAATACTGAGTTTTGAAACCATTTTTCTTGTCGAGTAGATAGAGTGGATGGAACCACTCCAAGAGCGAGTGGTACAGGCCGTAGCGTATGTTCCTTAAACAGAAAAATACAGCAGTGGCTGGTATTAGGCAGAGAAAAATCAGGCTGGGTGCGTTGTGGCAGCACTTAGGAGGGGGCGGTAGGAGGATCAGGAGTTCAAGGTGCATCCTGCCTACCAAGTGGGTTTAATGTCAGCCTAAGCAGCTTGAGACCCTTTATCTAATCTATCTATCTATCTATCTATCTATCTATCTATCTATCTATCTATCTATCTATCTATCTATCTATCTATCTATCTATCTATCTGAGACAGGGCCTCACCACATAGTCCTGGCTGGTAAGAACTGCCTATGTAGACCAAGCTAGCCCCAAACTCACAAAGATCCCACTTGCCTCTGCCTACCAAGTGCTGGGATTAAAGGCGTGCACCACCACAGTTGGTATATATTTCATACTTTAAAATCTTACTTCTGGGCTGGAGAGATGGCTCAGTGGTCCTGAGTTCAATTCTCACCAACCACATGATGGCTCACAATCATCTGTAATGAGATCTGGTGCCCTCTTCTGGCCTGCAGGCAAACATGCAGACAGAATATCGTATACATAATAAATTAAAAAAAAAATAAAATCCAGGCAGTGGTGGTTCTTGCCCTTAATCCCAGCACTTGGGAGGCAGAGGTGGGTGGATCTCTGTGAGTTCGAGGCCAGCCTGGTCTACAAGAGCTAGTTCCAGGACAGGCTCCAAAGCTACAGAGAAACCCTGTCTCGAAAAACCAAAACAATAAATAAATAAATAAATAAATAAATAAATAAATAAATAAATAAATAAATCAACTTTTCCCTTCCTGAAGTTGTTTCTGTCTAACAAGCATGGTCACTGACACAGAAGTCACTACACGTTCAGCTGGAGAGCAAGGTCGGCACCAGACCCCACAGCCACCCTGCTCTGCTACACCGACTGCTTTTCTATTGAGAAGTTAGTCTCTATTATTGTTCATCTTTTAGAGACAGAGTCAGGTTAGCCTCAAACTCAGTACACACCTAAGGCCAGCCTTGAACTCCTGACTCTCCTGTCTTTGCCTCCCAAGTGCAAGCTAGAGCCACCTGCCTGCACATAGCACCAGGTCTGAGAGTCCTTCCTAGTGAGTGACAGAGTGCTGGTTGGGAAGAACAGTGTGTGCCTCCCTCTTTAGTTTTGATCTGAGGGCAAGTTACCAGAGCTTGCCCGCAGGCCTCAACAGCTCTGTGCTGGGTGGGTGCTGGTGGCAAAAGGTGAGATCCACTCCCTGGGCCATCTCATGCCAGCACTCAGAAGGTGGAGACAGGAGGATATCTGAGTTTGAGGCTAGCCTGGTCTACAGAGCTAGTTTCA